TGTCCTAGTGGAATAGCCTGATCCATAGAAGCCTTATCTAAGGGTCTTGTTCATCTATCGTAGCTTATTTGAGAACTTGTATCCGGTGGTATTCGAAGATAACATCGGAGGTGTAACAAATACGAATAATATCCATGGGCGCTCCGGACTGTTACAGTTCCAGAAAATCATTTCAATGAATCCTTGTACCCCTGAAAAAAGACGTGATCTTATTTCTTTTTCTTCAAGTTCTGCAGGTGAAAAAATGAACTGATTGTTGTTTGCTTTTATAGACGTTGCTTCCTCATAAACGTTGGCTTTCTTTCCCGAGTGACCTAAGAGCCGTTTCGAACTCCGATTCTCGATCGATCCAATAGGCAATCTTCACACTTTCTAATGCCCCTAGAATCAATCAGATATTCGACATCAAACCGAGAACCGCAAAGTAAGAGAGTGTTGTGTATCCTACCTGTGAGATAAAAATCATGAAATGAGAACATGAGTACATGGTTCAACCAATAATCCCCATCGACTCGGTTAAAACTCGGTAAAAGCTCGACTCGAACTCGAAATCGACTCGAGACCTTAACGAGCTAAGCCGAGCAAAGTCTAACTCAACTCGATAAGTTCGCGAGCAGCTCATTAGTTTTTAAAAATATATTTTTAGTAATTACTTGAAAATTATTTCATTCAAAAAATAAATCTAAATGATAATTATTAATTTATTAATAAATAAAAATAATAATAAGTTAACTAATCTATTGTTTTTTAATAAAAAATAAAATATTATTAATTAATAATATTATTTTAATACAAAAAAACCCAACCCAAATATCCTCATAGTATTAGTAAATTTTATATTTAGTTAAAAAAATAAGGTATTTTTTTTAGTAAACTTAACGTGCATACGAGTCGAGTTTAACGAGCAATGAGTCAAGTTGAGCAGCAAATTTTTTTAACAATCACGAGTCGAGCACAATTTTAACGAGCAACGAGTCAAGTCGAGCAGCAAAATTTTTTAATAAGCACGAGTCGAGCACTGTCCAACTTGCGATCGACTCTCTCGATAAGCACCCCTAATCCCCACTGCCACATACAAGATTGGTGACTGATCTATACTTACTACAATCCATAACCAAAGTAAATGGAAGCTGCTACAAATACAATGGTTCTAAGAACAAGTGTAGTTGTGATCACACTCGAAGTATTCTGATGCTCACCACCATCATCATCACCATCTCAACAAGTGAAGCCTCGGACAGCAACACTGTTGCCCCTTTCTTCTTCAATCATTTTTGTCTTGAAAACTGGAAATTATATGAAATAATTCTTTTACATTATTAGTGTAGGAAAATACGTACCATGTAAAAAGAAACAGATTTGGCTACTTAAACGTATACTCGGTGAATATTAACATATGCAACAACCAAAACTGTTCACGTACTTTTAGGTTTCATAATTGGAATTTTGGGCCAAAAACTGTTAAATTATTGAGTTTTTCTTTTTTAATTTTATTGATTTTGAACGAGAATTTCGTATTTTTAAATTTTGAACAAACTGGGAGCATGGCATTAGTTGTGTTATTAATGAGCAGTATTTCATAACCAACTCCAGCAAGGGAGACAGATACCAAATATTGAACACCATAAAACGGCACCAAACAAACCAATGAAATACCACGTACATTGTTTGAACTGATACAGAAACAAATTATGACGTAGGCTCTCCCACTTTGGGGAGACCTTATGCGACGAGTCTTATTGATCACCCATTGACCAGTCCAGGTAAGTAAATTTGATATTATGTTAGTTGCCTCTTATTTATTACGTCCAGGACGTGGTTCTTCCTCTTCCTTCGTCGATGTGGGACTAGTGTTTCGTCAGGATTCCCAATTTCCCTAAGACTGGCGGGGCTGAAGTCTTAACCTGGCGTTCGGGGAAATCTACCACCCTACCCCTCTTACCCCATTGCGTATGGGAATAGGATTTTGTTGTTGTTGTGGTGGTGGGGCTGAAGAATACATGGAATTAGTAAAACATATAAGAATTTGATTCCTTGTTTATTCATCTCAAATGATACAGAAAAAAACTATATAAATCAAGACATGAAATCGTCATAAACTAAGATATCAGAGTATGCAAAAAAGTAAGTCCTCGACAGAGCTGGGGGTTCTCGTAACGAGGTGTGCCCATATTTTAGCATTAATGCTGAAAGATTAGTATCCCCTTCGCTACCAAGAACTGATCCATTTCATGTTTTTACTTTCAGTATTCTCTTGCTTTTGTTGCGAGGTTATTTAATGTCCGTAGCAACAATCAAAGCATAGTTTTGGCTTGAACTTGGACTCTTTGGCTTCCAACGTTCCTCCAAATTGCTCCGAACGAACGCAGGCCCCCACTACCACAAATTATGACGTAGTTTAGCGACCTCCATTGCACTTGGGAGGGGGCGCTCGCCTAAGGTCTCCCCAAAGTGGGAGAGCCTATGTCATAGAATATGTTTCCTTGTTTCTTTATATCACTGATTAAAAGTGGTTGTAAATCAAACATATACCCTTTTGAACGGTCATAAATTAAGTTACATTCCTATTGTTTCCGATATAGATTCCTCTTGATTTTGCAGTGAGGCAATTCTATGACCATAGCAACAACCAAGCATACATTGGCTTGAACATGGACATTTAAAGAAAGTGTTTTCTTGGGATTTAAACATTCGTCCATATAGTTTCAGTTCTCTCTTTGCTTTTGCAGTGAACCAGTTCAAGACAATGGGAACAACAAAACATATGTAGTTTGGCTTGAACAATGATGGTTAGAGTGCCGAGACTTCGGATGATTTCCTTTGACTTTAAGCACTTATCCAAATTGTTTCAATCTTCTCTTGCTTTTTGCTGTGAGGTAGTTCAATGTCCATGGAAACAGTCAACCCTAGAATGGCTTGAATTTGTATGGTTTGAGAATGTTGAGACTCTGGGCATTTATCTTTGGCCTTGAAACCAAATTGTTTCAACCCTCTCCTGCTTTTGCAGTGAGACAGTTCAAGACCGTGGTAACAAATGCGCATAGCTTGGTCACAACCCAAGCCCTAGGAAATATATAATTACGGATATAGGTCATAATCTTTGCCTAAAAATGCGTAGTTCAATTAGGAGCTTTAAATAAATCTTCTCTTTAAAAAAGTACGATGGTCCCGATGATGATGTGACGGTGCACAGTTGAAATAACCAATAACATAATCTCTGCAGTTGAAAACAAGAACCCAACAGGGTAGCCAATTGTTGTAGCTACCCATGAAAACATTGTTTCCTGTTTCTTCATCAATGGTGACCCTGGTGGGACCGAATCTTCTTCACAAGGAACCCTAATTGGCACCCACACGAGCCACTGTAATTGGCATGAGTCCCCAAAGATTGACCTGCCTATCCATTTAAGGACCTTCAGGAATCTTTGGACCGAGTTCCTTGTTGCTCAAGTCTAAATAATGCAGCTGCTGGAGCTCGGAAAATGTTCCTGGTATTTCACCATTAAGGTTATTGTGTGACAAATCAAGGGTCTCAAGACTCTGCAGGTCACCAAAACTCACTGGGATTTTGAATGAAAGGTTAAGTAGCTTCAAACTTTTGAGGCCACCTAATGAATGAGGAATTTCTCCTGATAACTGGTTCTTTGTCAAGTTGAGGAATGTATGGATGTAACGGTTTCGGATCCAGAGGCCTTTCTTTGCTTTGATTTCATCCCTGTAGGGTTTCCCAAGCTTTGAGGAATTTCACCATTGAGGTTGTTGGTGAGGTCGAGGATTCGGAGACTGGTAAGACTCGACAGATCATTGGAAATCGATCCATCAATGGAATTGTTCACAAGATTAAGTAATTGAAGAGAGGACAATTGAGAGAAGAAAGCTGGGAATTCACCACTGATATTGTTGTCATGAAGAATGAAGATCAAGGTGTTCAAGCTGCAATGTGGACAATGGAATCCTACCCGATGTTCGGTTGCCGGAAACCGTCAGCTTCCTCATTAGGTAACTCTCATTCAATCATATTGCCACTGAGATCAAGGAATTCCAGATTAGTCAAATGAAACAACTGCAGAGGAATTGAAACCATTGAAGCTATTTCCTCTCGTGTCAAGATGCACCAGCTCACTCAAATTTCCCAGTCCAATCCCTGGGATCTAACCTTGTATGGAATTGTAGGAAATGTCTACCGACATCAAGGTCTCGATCTGGAAAATGGATGCCAAAGCATTTCAAATATTTCCTGGTGTGGGAAAAACACTGGATAGATTAATTCGGACCAATCACTTGTGAAGATGAACTGGAACTACATTGCACGAGGGACCACTAGCATTCTGAACTGGAATTCCACGTCTGTAAGCCAGCAAGAAACTGTTGAGTTGTCGTCTCTCGTTGAGTCTCAAACTAGTAAATCCTTGAACTCCAGGAAAGCATCACGCTGCTCGTGAAGACATGGAAAGGAACCAATGAAGCTGAGACTTAGAACAAAATCTATATACCATGATTTAGAAAGTAAGCTTAAATTTGCCATATTTTTTTTATGTTTACTTTTCTCCATTAAATCTGCTTCTGGTTGTTACTTTTAAAGGAGGAAAGTAACTACACTGGTTCATACATGGTAGTCCAAGGACGAGTCTTCGTTTGTAATGTAAAATTTTGATGGGAAAGTGGAGAAATTGCATTATTTTGAAGGAATAATTTACAGTCATAGAGTGATGATGTGCGTTGGAATTAGTATGATTATTCATAAAGTAATCTCTAGTTGTTATCATCTCGTTGAATTAGTATGATCTTTTTTTTGGGGGGTTACAATATAATGATCTTTAGTATTTTTTGGGTAATAAAATACGCAATAATTAAAATTAATAAATTAATTTATTGATAGAACGTGCAACTTCATTTGGTCGAAGACCTGCAATATTTTGACCTAACAAAATTTTAACTTTAACCTCTAAATTACTTTACCGAAATCCATCACTGCTACTGAGAAACTTTATAAATGCTAATCAACAGTTGTAAAAACAAATAATATATAAAATAAATAAATCCTAAAACAAACCCTTTTTTCTATTAAAAAAATGCAGAAAATCCCACATCATTTAGAAGCAATTTCATGTTGAACCGCCATCCTGAGCAAGCTATCTTGATCAAGAGCCACAATGACGGGCAAACTGCCCATCCCACGAGCCATGGCCAGCATGATCTCCTCCACCAGCGATTTGAACTCCCTAAAATCGAGCTTCTCGTTGTGATCCTTGTCGAACTTGTCGAAAATCATACGGTGGAATTCATCGACATCTTCTTTCGTTGCCGATTTAAGTTCCACGGTGAAGAGCCAGCACGACCCTTCTCGGAAATCCTCACGACAAATCACTCCATCCCCGTTCGAATCGACCAGTTTGAAGTATTTCTCGACACATTTTTCGAATGCTTCTTTTGCTTCTATAAATTTAATCACTGTGTTGCTATCAAGAACAGCTACACTCATTTTTGTAGATAATAAATATATATAATGGTTTATGGAAAATAATATTTTTTCTTTTTAATTTTAGGTTTTTGCTTTTGCATTGATTCACTTTATTTATATATATCTAGGGTTTTTTTATTGCTAAATATGGAAATTTTCAATGGTTGATTGGGCTTTAAAACTGGATTGTTCCTCAATTAGAATGTGACATCTGGCATCTTTCATGCCCAAATAGGCTAATACTCTTGTTAGTTCTTGACTAAGTTGCTCGCGTGAATAATGTGGAATAAAAAGGATGCTTGGTAAAAGAAATTAGAGATAGATACACCGAATATAACAATAAATATTAGGATAAATTATACTGTTAGTATTTAAATTATTACTTTTATTCTATTTTGGTACTTAAACTTTTTTCAAAATCATATCTAACGTTTAATTTAGGTTTTAGTTTGATACCTTGTTAAAAAAATTAACATAACTGTTGAAGTAATATTTTTTATTTTTTTCGACGATGATGTCATAACTGGTTTTTGTCCGGGCACGAATTTTCTTAGCGGAAAAGTAAGTGAATAAATAAATGGTTTTTATTGGAAAAAAAATGTTTTGGAGTCACCATTGACCCTTTTGGGTTAGGTAGGTCGAATACCTCAAAATCACCTTTTAAAAGAGTTTTAAAGAAAAATCAGTTAAAAAGTAAACCGATCTGCGTTTAACCAAAAATTCATTTTTTTAGTAATAAAAAGATATTTGTGGTCAGTTACGTTAAGGGAATGATTAGCACCCCTATAATGCCCAAAATTGGTACCCTTCAATTATAAGTTGTCTCTATTAGTGGAAATGTAAGAATTCAAATATAAATTTAATTTATGGTCCTGTTATTTCAGATTCAATAGAATAATTCTAAAGAAAATCATATTAAAATAATTTAAATAAAACTAAAGTAAATATATAATTTTTTAGGTTTTTATAAGTAAGGTATTTATTCATTTAAAAATATTAGAAAAGGACATCTAGTTACTTTAAGACAACCCCTTTCTTAATATTAAAAAATAAATAAATATATTTAATTTTCTTAATATTAAAAAATAAATAAATATTATTTATGTAATTAAATATATATATTTATATGACTAAAATAAAATAAAATATAATAATAATTAAAGTACTAATTTAAACATATTTAAATTTAAAGGTTAATAATAAAAATAAAATTAAACAGTGACCAAAATAAAGAAAATTAAAACTTATAGGATTAAATTGCAAAATATAAAAATTAATAGCCCTAATTAGAAATATTATAAAATCTAGGTACCGATAGTATAATTTAGCCTTACTTATTAACTAGTGATTAAAATAAAATATTATAATTAAAAGGACTAAATAGGGTATTTACCCTAATAGATGTGAATAAAGTGCAAGGAATAAAAATAAATTAAATAAAATTCGTATACGAAATTAAAAGACACAAATATAATTCCAGTGACTAAAATGAAAAGATTACAAAACTTGGAAGAACTGCTAGTATTAATTACCCATACGTAAAATTACGCAGGGGTCTCTCCCTTAAACGGCGTCGTTTTAGGGAGGGTATAAATACCCCTTTTAGCCGGCCCTTTAGGCCATTTTTCTTCATTTTTCTTTTTTGGTTTTCTCTCTAAGGATAGAACTCTCTCCCTTCTGTCTAGTCTTCCCTCATCGGAGGGAAGCCATTCACCGATCGACAGCCGTGCTCCGGTGCCGATCACCATCGTCGGCCACCGCCCACGGTGGCCGAAAAATATCAAATCACCCCAAATTAAAGATCTGAACGCCCTAAGGTTGAATCCGGTCTCCGTTTCCCCTAAAAAGCCTTAGAATTTCCTAGATCTAGATTTATACCTTTGGGTTTTCGGTGGCTTCCGGCGACGTTCTCGGTATGTTTCTACCATTTCTTTTCCTTTTCTTCTTGGTGATTTGGTTGATGTTCACTTGTTGTATATATGGATGCTACTCTCGTTCTTTTCTCTATTTTTTTGTTCGTATCTCTCTCTTTGTTGCTTGATGTGTGTCCTTCTATCTTGCAGGTGATCGGTGGCTTTTACAAGCCACCACAGAGCTCCTTTTGGACCGGTTAAAGAGCGGTTATGACTCACCCTAGGCTTTGACGTGTGCAGTTGTGGTGCTTTTGGAGTCTTCGGCGATACGTGGAGTGGCAGCGGAGCGTCGAAAGTAGCTGGTTGGAGCGTGGACGTGGAGGTGGCGTGGCAGAGGCGGCCAACTTAGCCCTAGGGTGATGATACTATAGGGTTTTCTGCTGGAGGCTTCTGGACCGTTGGATCTCACCAAATCCAACGGCTGATGGTTGCTGGCTGCTGGAAAAGATGATGAAAACCTAAAAGGGTTCTACTGGGTTTTTGGACCGGGTCTGGGCTTAGACTGGGTTCTGTTGTATTTGGGCCAAGTTGTTGGGCTTTGTAATTCTTTGGGCTTCGGGATTTGTAAATGGGATTGTAATAATAATAAATTTTATTAATAATAATAATAATAATAAAACGACTAATAATAAATTAATAACAAATGGATCAAAAAAATAGTGTCTACAGCTGCCCCTCTTTGCTCATTCTTGTGTTAACAAGAATATGGCAAAAACGAAAAGACAATAAGTTTTTTGTCCATTTGACTTCTCTTGATTAAGATGGAAATATTAATGCTGATCTATCTCCTTCTGCGATGAATCGAGCTAAGGTTGAACAAGTTCTTCAGATATTGAACTTCTTCTAGAAATACTAATGATGCTCTATTTCCTTCTGCGATAGAATCGAGCAAAAGGTTGAATAAGTTCTTCAGATTATAAACTTCTTCTTCCTCTTATGATGAGTTCTTCTTATTATGAACTCCTTCTGGAAATGTTGATGCTACTCTATCTCCTTCTGTAATAGAATCAAGCAAAATGTTGAATAAGTTCTTTAGATTATGAACTTTTTCTTCCTCTTCAGATGAGTTCTTCTTATTACGAACTCCTTTTAGAAATGTTAATGTTGCTCTATCTCCTTTTGCAATAGAGTCGAGCAAAAGGTTGAATAAGTTCTTCATATTATGAACTTCTTCTTCCTCTTCAGATGAGTTCTCTTATTACGAACTCCTTCTAGAAATGTTGAAAACATTCTGCCCGGAGGTCTTATGGATGGCCCGAAGGTCTTATCATCTTGCTCGGAAGGCTTACATATTACCCAAAGGATTTAAATATCAGGGAAATAGTTTACTAAGTAAGAACTTTGGAAATCGCTTTCTTATATTCAACATTTTATTTTCAGAAAAGATTAAAAGAAACTTTAGAAATCGTTTCTCATTTTTCGAAATAACTTGTTGATTGGGTAACATGCCCCACTTCAAAGTAATGCTTCTTTTGTGAATTGCGACCATCTATTCTTCATATATTTGTTTCTCGTGAAATGATTCCTGCATTTGAGGTTTGAATTCTACCTTCCACTTGTAAGGTTTTTCATCATGAATCTTCTTTTTTCATATGAAAACTTGTAAAAACCTTGTGTTTGAATGCAATCAAATGTGTTTATGTAATACATTTTCTTTTATGCAAATTATGTTCTTGTGTATCAAATTGAAACCTAAACTAAATGTTAGATATAATTTCGAAAAAAATGGATACTAAAATAGAACAAAGGTAGTAGTTTAGGTACTAAATTGGATACTAAAGTTTATTATTTAGATGTGTTTGAAAAAGATACATAGTAATTAAGCACGAACCGAGTGATCGATCTCAGTGATAAATGAGTTGTTCTTATTTTTGAGATTCTAGATTCGAGTACGGTGAATGTCAAGGGTATAAACGTCAACATCAAACGATGAGTTATTTTTTGAACATATATTACTTATATTCACCAAATGAATCAAGCATAAAATCATCATGGTTAATTAATCAAGTATCTCCCTATTTTCAACACCTTAAGAATTTGAGAGTATAATTCAATGTAAAATAGCTACGCAAACAATTCATACAAATAAATATTGTCTATATTTTACTATATCCATAACCACATTTGGGTTACATAATTTAGTTGTATCGTGATTAATCTCTAACCTAACCTTTAATTTTGCACGAACCAACTTACTTTAGTGGTTAAAGAATCGTTATTGTTCCTAGAGGTCAAAAGTTTGAACACCAGCAATTACAACAGAGTGATTAAGCGTCCATTGTCAATGATTGAGAGTATTTAGAACAAATATTAATTTGTAATCCCTTAACTAATAAAAAATTAACCTAACCTTTAATTTTTACTTGGTATATTCTGAGTGGGTACCTTATGAGATTATATCAACGATTTAAAAAAAATTACAGATTTAAAATTATTGATAAACAGATTGATGCTTAAAATTGTCTATCTTTTTTATAATATTTTTATAATTTAATGTCAGTCATTAATTCACACTTATAAAACTATCAGCTAACACAAAGGATAATCATATTGAAAAGAAATTGAATCTAAAGCTGTCAACGCAAGGTTGGCCAATCTGTGAGTCACGGGAAATTCTACAGTGCGACACTTTAATATAAGGCTAAATAAGGTGTTATCAGTTTTGTTATTATTTAAATAATAAAATCAATAAAAAATTTAACGATAATATTATTATTTTTACCTAAAAATCATTTCTTTTAACATTTTCGGTAATTTTTAGCGCCTAGTAATGTTTCTAATTATTTTTAGCGCTTAATAATATTTTCGGTTTTTTTAAAATCCAATTAAAACGTCTAGTAATAATAAAATCGATCATTTTTTAACGTCTAATAATATTTTCGATTAATTTTTATTAATTTTATTATTGTTTAACATCTTATTTTAACCTTATATCAAAGTTGTCGGACGTGAGCGTTTCCCGTGAGTCGCTTCATTGGCGGACTGAGAGACCAAGTGAAATTCGAGTCTAAAATTTGCCCAGCTTCAGACAAAATGAAACAAAGCGAAGACAGATCGGACTCATGATGTAATAATTGGTGAACCACATTATTGGAGTCGCTTTCAATTATTACATGAGAGAAACCCAAATCAACTGCAAGCCGGATTCCAAAACAAATTGCACGAGCTTCAA